TGAATGACGCCTTCACTGCTGCAGGCAACGTGTTCACTAAGCAAAAAGTGGCCACTGAGGTACAATCCACTGTATAGTCAGTACATAAAAATTAATTTTGACATACTCTACTGTAGTTTTGTGTACATGTTTAGGCATGGCTAACGACAACATAGTTTACTGATAAAACTAAAGTCAAATGAAGGTGTGCACCTGAAGTAGCTCAGCAGGTTGCAAAAACAACAAGTGTTAAAATAACAGTTCTTGTTTGAATCGTAAGATCAATGACCATTTAAGACAGTTTAACTCCCAGTAAGTACACCAGTGGTTCCCAAAGTGGGGGCCACCAGATTATTGCAGGGAAGCAACAGGTCAAATTCATTAAATTTTAATAATTTTGCCACAGTGGGGAAAAACACACTGATTTCTTCCCTTTTTTATGGTGTTAATATCTCCTTTTAGGAAAAACAATGTTTAAATGTTTAGGTTTTGAAAAAAAAAAAACTAGAGTAATGGTCACTGAAAGTGCTTCATAGTTACAGATATTTGACCTCAACACTGTGGATACACATCTTTCTATACTTATGGAGACTGAACCAAGTGACCTAATGTGTGTTAACTAGCATGCTGTAATGTAAATAGATAATACTATAATAAAATATAATAATAAAACAATAAATATTTAATACAATTTTTAATATTTAAGTGCCGTAAAGGCTCAGTTCCAGGGCTCACTGTAAATGCCTTGTTTATGTCGATGTTTCTTAATTAACTGCCCACATTGTTTCCTTTTACAGGGAATTGGAAAGTATGGTGTGTTGTTTTACAACGCTCTGTTCATTGTCATCCCCACCACCTCAGCCAGTCTACTTACTGGAGATCTACACAAGGTTCATTCAACAATGTATATTTTTCTATTGTGTGTATTTGACTGTAGTGTTCTTGATGATAGTGTAATTATTGACTTGACTACCTTCTGGTCTTCAGGCAGTGACCTTCGAGGGCTGGGTCAGTGTGACATTTGTTCTGTGTTTTCTCATGTCCTGCTTCATGGGGTATGTCACTGGAGTGTATCATGTTTAGGACTTTTACTCATCATTAGATACCAGAGAACGGTTTCCTGAATGTCATCTGTCTCTGTCTGCAGGTTTGTGTTGATGTATTCCATAGTTCTGTGCAGCTATTACAACTCTGCACTCACTACCACAGTGGTGGGGGCAATAAAGGTCAGGACACACTGATAAACATGCTACCTTTACACTGAGAGCACAAAAGTTATTATCTCTCTCTCTTTTTTCTTTCTCTCTCTCTATATATATCTTTCTCTCTCCCATTCTCTGTCCTCTCTCTCTCTCTCTCTCTTTTTCTCTGTCTTTCTCTCTCTGTCTTTCTCTTTTTCTTTCTCTCACTTTCTCCCTCTCTCCTCTCTTTGTTTCACTCTCTTTCTCTCTCTCTCTCTCTCTCTCTTTCTTTCTCTTTCTCTCTCTCCATCTCTCTTTCCTCCACCTCTCTCTCTCTTTCTTTCCTCTCTCTCTCTCTCTCTCTCTCTCCACCTCTCTCTTGCTTCCTTTGTATTAATGAGTGTGGCCCAGTTTATTACCAACCCTTACATACTGCAGCGTACTGATAACCTTTGGAATTCTCTCCAGAATGTGGCGGTGGCCTATGTGGGAATATTTGTTGGTGGAGACTACCTTTTCTCCTGGACCAACTTTCTGGGCCTCACCATTTGGTAAGAATCTGCTTATCATTGTTGCACAGTTAGGCTAATAATTAAACATGTTACACCTTTAATTTTCAATTTCTTAGCTCAAGCAAAGATTACACAAATTTGCTGTGAAAATTCACAGAATCATATGTTGGTAGAACACTTGCTTTTGCAGCAAGAAGATCACTGGGTTGTAAACTCGATCCCTGGTCGATCTTTCTGTATTAGGTTTGTAAAGGAAAAAAAGTGGTGAATGATGGAGGGATAGAAAACATAATAAGCTTGGCTAATTAAAAACATATGCTAATGTTGAGCAAAGTGGAAAGAGTTAATTATTTAGCTAAAAAAAAAAACTAAATATAGAAAAACTAAAAAAAGTATTTTGTTCTTTCAAGAAATAGCTGACAGTTGGCTAACTGTCAATGAAAAGACAACTAAAGGTCAACATAGCAATTGTACAATAGACAAGGATTTAAAAAAGGTTTGGTTTTTTGTTCACTTCTGCTTCATGTAGAGTAAACTGAATAGGCCTGACTGTTAACTTCTGCTTTACAGTATGTCGGGAGGACTCATGTACTCTTATCTCACGTTCCATAACAAATCAACTGGACCAGTCACCCAAGAAACACCAGACGTCAAGATCGACGTCAGAGATTCCACAGAGAAAAACTGTCTGAACTGAATGGACGAAGTTTGAAACTTTCACCACTTGGTGGCATTGTTCTGCTTCATATTGGAGTATGATGTTGCTTCCACACTTGGATTAACTTGGCCAAGGAGACTGAAATCATCACCACTATAGGCTGCACTAAAAATAAAACTCTGGCCCAATTACGGAGTGGCCGTTTAATTAAGGAACAGATCCAGTTAAAGGGGAGGTTCACAGACCACCTTTAATCAGATTTCTTATCCATCACTGTGACAGGAGTTGATTTTAATGAAGCAGTTTGTCAATTTATGAAGAAATTAGTAGTAATTATTTATGAATCAGACACATTTAGTCTATTACAAATTCTATATTCTATATATAATGTGTCTTTGTATTTATTTTTTATAATTGATAAAAGATGAAGAATGTCAATAGTCTGGATTCAGCACTGACCCAACACACAGTCATCTCAAATTCCTGACGTAAACCAGAGGTGAACTGTGTGTTTTTCTAGTTATGTCTTTGTCTTGTTGTTCAATGTATATTTTATATTGACAAAATCAGAATCTGTTATTAATTTTGGGCATTTTAAAGGCAACTGATTGAAAGTTAGTGAATTCAAATCACATGTGAAGAAAAACGGACAATAAAGCTAGATGGGACTGTGTGTGACTCTCCACCGGTCTTACTGTACCTCTTCTCGGTCCAGCTTCACATTGTAGTTTTTTAAAAATATTTTTATTTCTTCTATACAGTTTATAGGCCTGGGTTGGAGCCTTCCTTGCATTTTATATTTTTGTAAAAATGTTAAACTCATAAATATATACCTATTATTTCTTTACAGAGATCCCTAGCAGTGGTGTACGCAAGTCTGATTTCTTTTTTTTTTCTTTTCTCAATCAGTATAAAAATCATATACCTTTAGGGACATGGTTAGATCTACAGATGGCTCTGTAATGGTTTTGTGCTGTATTTCTGTCAATGTAGTACCATCTCAGAAACAGATTTATATTTATGTGGGTTTTTCAAAGCCTAGAATTCAGTGGCATTAAACTAACAAGGAAAATAATTGTAGGATGTATTTTAAAAGGCTTCAAAAGCTATTCTTAAAGGATCACTGGAAATGAGCCTACTCTAAAAAAAAAAGGTAAGATTTCTTTATTTTAAAAAGTAACTGAATAAGTTGGCACTGGAGGCACATCAAGTCTGGGTCAGCTTCAGTGAATGTTTATTGAAAACAAACAAAATAACACCAGTGCGGACAGATGGAGAAATGTGTATGAAGGATCTCACCAAGCAAGCAGGCTCACTCTACACATGTGACAAGATGACAACTGTTGGAGGAGGTTAGCAAAGAGGAGGGGGGCGACTCTAAACACCAAACTTCAAAGCTCTCTGTAAAATTGTGCACTCACAAAAAAAGGAAATCTCTAACAAACAAAGTGTATATATTAAAAATCACATAATCTTTAGGGTTAGAAAGCTTTAGAACAAACTACAACAGGGAAACAATAAACCATTTGGTGTTTTGATTATCAAAAAAAAAAACAATATGCTTTCCAGTTTTAACTCCACATTCTATTAAATTACTTGGTTTGCCTAATTGCTAGAGTGAGTTTGTTGGTAGATTCCTGTAGAACAATCAGAGGCAGGGCAGTTATGAGACATCATACAGTGTTGAAGGATGTAGTGTTAACATTCTTAAAAATAAAACACTACATTAGGTCATAGGTAAATAAGTGCCACTTCACAGGACACACAGCAGCCCTCCCTCCCTCCTTTTTCCCTTGTGCATTGCAAGCTTAATCCAATATCACAAAGCTGTTGTACATAAGTGCTTTATTTGAACTGTCCTTTATGTGATAAATGCCTCAAACATGTGTAAAATAAGAGCTAGAGAATAAAAAGGTTTTGATGAAGTCATGATTCTGTAACTGAACTTAGATGAAATTAGATGACCTTGATTGTGTTACCTCTTAATACAGCACCTGGAGGTTCAACACACCTACTCTCATGACCTATGAAGATACTGAAGTGACAAAAGGTCAATCTTGAGTTTGGTAGGTGTTCCGCTCAGGGGGAGGGGAGATTTGCACCTGCACTTTTCTGTGTAATGTTATGAGACAGCTGTATAAATAATGATAATAATGATGGGGTAACGTTAAACTGTAAATGTTTGTATTATTATTCGACTTCTGGGTTAGGCTTGCAATCACCTCTTACTGACCATATTGCATGTCAAGACCATAGATCATAGATATGAAATGGACAGAGCAGGGTTCTGTTGCAGGCTAGGGTGGCACCCAGTGAAAGGCTGATTTTGAAGTCCTATGGGGTCTGTCTATGGTCTTAATAGCATAGCATAGCATAGCATAAGGACTTCTTTTAAAGCACATGTCAGTGTTCAAAATTAAAACTGAATTCAGAACAAAGAGACAAAACAACGTGATAAGGCTAAGCCAGAACTAGACAAACTTTGACTTAGTTACCATGTTATACCAAAGATTAGGGAAACTTTTACTTTTTAATCCAATGATTCAATCATGGCTGAAGGTGCTCTGTCCAATTCTTACAAACAGTCTAGGGTCAGGACTGCTATTAACTCTGCCCAAATTATTTTTTTGGTCAACATTTTTACAAACACTTAAATATGCTGGTGATGCCAAGTTCCGCCTCCCTGCACAGAAGACTGGCAGTGAAGTCTTGGACATTTCCTAGCTTTGACCACACCCTGTATTCTTCTGTCCGTCTGAGCTTAATCCATATATACATCAGTCATACACAAGCACAAATATACTTAAAAAACTCGTTCTCATCAAAGTGCAAACAACTTTAAAACACAACAGGTACTCTCTCCTTGCCTGTACAAGACAGAAAGAAAAAATGACATTCTTCATATAGTCAAATCTACACGTATAGCAGCCTAAAGGTATAAAATGTCAAATGAATAAGGTGCTTTAGCTTCGTGCCTTCCTGGTGCTGTGAGTGGGGCTGTAGATGATGCTGTGTGTAACACTGATCTCGGGCCAACTCTTTGTCTGCTATCACAACACGATAGAACAAACTAAACTAGTGTTTGATACACGCTTACAAATGATTTCTTTTTAGCTACAGCACAGACTGCAGGAAGATGGACTGGGGAAAGCGGAACAAGGGACGGGGAGGAGCCAGGGTCCAGACTCAGGGGAGTAGTCTGGTGTTTTAGGGGGATAGGTTATTGGCCAACTCAATGAGGGCCAGAGCGCCATGGAGGCGCTCCCGCTGCTCCTGAAGGCGTCGCTTGGCTGCGCCTCCCTGGGTACCCTTCTCCTCCTCCATGGTCTCCTCCTCTTCGTCAGACTGCAGATACTCCATGGGATCCTGCTGCTCCTGGTCCTCAGCACTTTCCTTGCTCTGGGGTTTCACCTTGGTGGTGGTGGGGGCCCTCTGCTCACGAGTCCTCCAGTACCTGTGATGTGGGACAGTAATTAGTTTTTGTCTTATTCTTTAGGATTTTTCAAGGTGTTTAAATGAATATTGTAACACTTGACCATGTAAAGGTAGCGGTTACAAGTTGGTTGTTTTCCAGAGAATTCAGAATATTTTTTTGGCAATATCAAATATTTTAAACTTTGGATAGCTTTTAGCATTTTATCTATAATACAAATTTCTCCCACAATTGTGATCTTCTGTCCACTTTTAAATTGTTTTTGTCCTTTAGCTGCCTTTAGGCTGACTATACTACTGTTGGCCATTCCTCAGCTGACTTTTGACTAACTTTTAGTATTTCTTTTAGGTTTTTATCTTCATGTTAAGTTTTTTACTCACTACTATTTAAATATCATCACTTTTAATTTTTTTATTCATTTCATACATGTCCTTACATAGTAAGAAAAACTATAGATTCCTGTTTTAACTTACTTTGCCAGCCACTCTGCCACAGCCTTGTTATCCACAGACTGGGTCTTCCCCTGACCATCCTGTGGCTCCTCCCTCTTGAGGCGAGAGAAAGGATGTTTGGGGCAGTGACGGTTGGCATGAGTGAAACGATTGCCACAACCTAGAATAATTGGAGAGATATTTAAATAAATGCACTTGTAACTCTTAGGTACTTTCTTTACTGTGTCAAACGAAGCAAGCCATTTAAAAAGTAAATGGAAAGTACCATCTGACAACAACATTTCCAGTCCAGTTTTGGCAAACAGCTTGGAAGACTCATTCAGACCTACCTTTCTCTGAACAGACAAATGGTTTTTCTCCAGTGTGCAGGCGCTGGTGCGTCTTCAGCTGACCACTCTGGACAAACGCTTTACCACAGTTTGGGTAGTCGCACAGGTAAGGTCTCTCACCTGTGACAGGAAGAGGAGTATGTTTAGAACGATAGCCTTGAAGGTCTTCTTATTTTACAATCATTAGGTCTGTTGCACAACTATGTGATGTCCAGGTCTGTATTCCATTGCTATTGCCTTCTTAAAGACATATTTAATTGTTTTCTGTCTTACCTGTGTGTGTCCTTTTATGAGCCTGAAGGGACTTCTCTCTGGGAAACACTCGGTTGCAGATGTTACAGCGGATGCGACTGGATGAAGTCTCTCCTTCGCTGATCAGCTCCCGGACTGTGTCGGCCCTTGGGCGACCTCTGCGTGTACCATCCTGACAACAAGTATGGCATGTTTAGAAATCGCTAGGTGAAGAAATACACTCGTAAAGTTTTAATGATTTTCCCTAAGACCTAAACATAAGATATATATCTATATTAAGTAATTTTCCTGGATGGAATTCAGGAGATGCACAGAATTTGGAGACGCAATGCAATGGATGTTTGTGAACATGTTTGCGACATTGAGAACTTGCACAGTTCACACAGGAAGACCAAGAGTGATCAAACCAAGATTTTATATATATATACATAATGCATGTGTGTGTAATGTGTGTGGTTTTTTGTTATCTATTTACAGAGATAAATACATACAGAGGGACCATACAGTGTGTACAACATCTATGTATGAAACACATAAACTCATAATCTAATTTGAATCCTTTGATTTTAACTTAATAGTACCCACTCTCCTTTCATCAGTACACATGTAACAGCGCTGGCACGTTTGTCCATCATGGCTCATTTTACATCCGGTCTGGTTTTGGCGCTCTGTGCATCATCATAAGCAGCTGCTGCAGAACCAGGAAGTCTGTGTGGCTTTTTAAAATCCACCATGTTACACCCTAATGCGCGGGCGTTTTTTTTAAATGACTCACCATCTTGGCCATATTGACAGTCAAAACATCGATATAACCAGGAAATATTTAAAAGCATTGATCTTAAACTTGATATTTGACGCGATAAGTTATAAAGTTGTCAAAGTTCGCTGTGGATGAATTTGCTCTCAATTGAAGATATCTTCACGCATACGCGGCAAATTTACTTATACAACGTTATTACAACAGCTGTTACACCTATATCTTGTGTGTAATACAAACTATGTTAAATCTGTACAGTACTGGTAGTACATTAAAACTTCAGACGCTACAACTTTACGGTGCTGCAAGTCCGTTTTTTGCCGTTAGGTATTTAAATTAGATTATTTATTTTTTACCTTGTTGTGATCAGGTGACGGAACATTGTCCTCCTCTCGGGCTGTCTGGGTCCCAGTCGGGGATGAAGCCTCGCTCACCGATCCGGGGCTCAGAGTCACATTGTGGGCGTTTTCCCCCCATTTCCACGGGTAAACCATGAAGTCGCTGAAGCCGGGGCTAGTGGGCGTCAGAGCCTCGGCTTTCCTGGGTTTAATCGGGGTGGTCTTGATGACGGACACAAGGACCCTTTTGGGAGAGTCGTTGCAGAAAATGACTTGCGGGTGCTTGTTTTCAGCCATTACAAGCAAAAAAACAAAACAAAAACAAACTGCGGTCGAGCGAGCAAGTCTGGAAAAGTTTAGTTTCCAAAAAGTGAATAAATAAGGTTACTTTTCAATCTGGGGTAAATATGTCCTTCATTTCCAAAGAGAAGATAGAAATGGGTGCCAGATCCGTTAATCGCGTCGTGTCCTCACAACGATATTTAGTACCGTTTCTTCACTGGAGAGCAGACGTTCCTCTCAACGGTCCACTGAGTGTGCGCCCACAGGAGCGCCGTCCCGCGTTGCAAAAACGCGCCCGAGCCTATCATTGACCAATCAGGTGCACCGGTCTTGCAGCACGTGTCGGGAGGAAGTACAATAAGCCAATGACAGCATCCGTTACCGACAACGTGGAAATTACGTCGCAGACCCGTACACCCAATACATAGAAGAAGCTTCTCCAGTCTCGGCCAATGGGATTTAAACACATAACCCGCGCTGTCGCGCTGAAGTTGACATCAGCAAATGAAGAAGAACTAGTGTTCGTTTCTCCATTAGACAAGCCAATCAGAGTGAAGGGCGGGTAATCTTTCACAGTGGACGAGCAGATGGCCAGTTCCCGCGTTGTGGAGTCTGTTTATGTTATTACATTTGAGCTCAGTTTAAAGGGAAACGAAAGGGTGTTTTAGTGGCGCCAAAGTTACGTAATAGGTTCAGGGAGGAACAATGGCTGTACTGTGAGTCGTAAAAAAAAGCCACATGGACAAATATGGCTCTATGAACGATTCTAAGTGCCAACTTTAGAAGAATTGTATATGATTAAATTAAGCCATCACACATAGAAATAAAGTTATATCTGTGCCATTAAGAAAGACTTGTGTAGGATACAGGTAGTTACAGTCACACATTCAACAGGGGCTGCTTTGTTGTGTGTTAATTGCCTGACTGGCTGCATTTCCACTCTGGAACCAAATGTTTGTGATGAACATTAGTTCTAACATACACAATGCTTTGAACTAACTATAATTTATCTATTTAAGGTTAAGTTGCCATTGACTGTTGCTCTCCTCGTCATTCATGTCCTAAGGATGTGGTTCTCAAACTGTGGTGCATATACAATACCAATTGTGGTACACCAAATCTGATCCTCATTAGAAAAAGGCGAGTCTTTTTTGTACATGTGTAATGTCGTTTCAGAACATAATTTCAGTGCCAGTTGCGGTATCTCTTTTTGTACTGTAGATGTACAAAGGAATTTAACAGCTGCCCTAATAAAAAAACAAACAAACGATTGTTTATATTATAAAAGTGCTTAGTATGGAAACAATCAAGACTATCAGGCCTGTGCACATTTATAAAAAAAAAGAAATATCCCAAACAGATGCATATTCAATTTCTGTCAGCAAAAAATACGTAGTACAAATGCGTTTACCTAAATATTAGAATAGGGTTGTTTTATTGTCCTAAGTTGCCCCTGACGTCACATCCTCTGTCCACACGAACGACACCTTCATTGGTCAGAGCACATCTGTGAACGAATAGTGATAGATGGTGAACCTATTGAGGGGCTCACGGGGCGTGGCTTCATTGATCTCAACACGCGCAAACAGTTAAAATCAACGGAGACGCTGCCGTTGGGTGTTATTGGATGTTTACTGGACTTTCTCTAGATGCTGTCCTGTGGCTGAGCAGTAGGACAACAGGCTGTAGTTGCAGTATATTTCACAGTGTAGCATTTAGGAGACCGTGTGACAAGGCTACTGTCTGCTGAAGTCCGTCTGGTTTTTATATATTTATGTGTATATATAAAACTACCGTTAGTTACACAGGTTAAGATGCTAGCGGACGCTTACGGGTGTGTGGTGGAGAACAGGTTCGGGAACCTTCTAGATGACGATGCTGACCCTTTCGACTTAATCTGCGTGGTGGAACACGAGAAGGAAAAGAAGAAGAAGAAGATGAAAAAGAAACAAAATGAGGAGAAGAAAGTCATGCAGAAAAAACCCGGTCAAAAGGAGTCTCAGAGGGACAGACGCCTCCCTGCCGTCCATCAAGACCCGGTACCAGGTGAACTAAGTGGTTTCGGCCTGTCAATACCGGCTGTATCGGCCGCTGGTGGTGACAGGTCAGCACTATTCTGCTGTCAGAATGAGGTTGAGACTGCTCAGTCCTGCGTGGATTTTTAACCAGAAATTAGGGGGAAAAAAGTCGACATTGTGAGATGACATGTCAAAACTTTGGCGTCGTCATTGATAAAAAAGGAACTTTTAAATGATGAAATAAAGAACGCAAATAAAGAATTGCAGACATTTGTAAGAATGTCAGTGAAGTGCACACGATGACGATGCGATATTCAATCGATATTTGATAGGTAATCATTGGTCTAAAGGGCTTATTATATGGCACACTCACTCAAAATTAGTAAATTATCTTCTAGCACAGAATCCTCCAAATGTGTGGACGTTTTTTCCTCATACTTGTTAAAACATCTACCAAATCAGAAGAATGTTAACATTCTTATAATAATTACATGCCTTTCTGTCTTTTTTGCCTAGTCTGTAAGCAGCAGACTAAGCAGTCACGACCAGCTCCTGAGAGAAGAGATGGCAAAGAGGAGACCCTCAGGGGCATGAAGAGAGCTGCAGCTGTCAAGCGTATGGCTGACCAGAGGGAGGGTTTTGTCTCTGTGTAAGTCTAAAAATGAATTTTGTTTTTAACCTTTTGCACATAATTACCAGTTAAATTTCAATGAAATTTGGACACGAGTAAACATGTTGTTTTTTTGTTTTTTGTTTTCATTTAAGGCCAATCTATGCAGACTCTGAACTCAGGGGCAGGGGTGGGAACAGAAGGAGAGGAGGAAGAGGTGGTGGATACTCAAGGAACCTTGACACTGTCAACTTGAGGGGCAAGAGAGAATTTGAACGCCATAATGGAACGTAAGCTCTCTCTCTCTCACTTTCTTTCTCTCTCTCTCTCTCTCTGTTTATTCAGGAGCCCTAAAGCAAATTAACCCAAAACAAAATAACCTATCCGTGTCTTTGATCCATCATGTACCGCAGTGGAATCTCTCCTGAGGAAAGGCGAGGAGGCAGAGGACCTTGGAACTGGGGCTGTGTTGACGACGCTGCAAGGTAAATGATTGTAGAACCTGTAGATTTAAAAAATAAAAATGTATTACACTTGGGTACAACTAAAATGATGAGATACGTTTATCTACGAAGTGAACTGATAGAAGTGACGGACAACACGATGACTAAAGCTGAAGAACCTAAAACACCTGCGGATGAAGAAAACCCCAGTCGGTGAGAGAAGCACCTCAGCGTCAGTTCAGACAATAAGTGTACAAATGAATAGGCACTTAAAATAATAACAGTAGTTCTAAAAGTAATTAACAAATGTCTTGTGAATTCTAAATCATCAGGTCAATTAATGACAATTTGAGTTGAAGCTAAAATGAAAGGTTTTCACAGCGAAAAGCCTTTGTGCATTCAAGTAGTGATTATATAAATGTAGTAGATTTAACAATGTGATTCAAATAATGATGCTAAAAGTGTTTAGTAGAATATATAACGTTTGATGTTTGAACTAATTTGTTTCCATTTAAATATAATTTTTGGGGTTGTTTCATAGCTTTACATTTAGAGTTACTTTTGCGAGAAGCTTTAGCTTAACGAAGTTCTGATGCAATTGTGACAGAACGGTGGAAAAGGAGAATGGAGAGATGGTTGGGCAAGTTGCCGTGCAGATGTCGCTGGATGAGTGGAAAGCCATGCAGGAAATGAGTCGCCCCAAGATAGGGTTTAACATCCGCAAAGCAGAAGACAAGATTCCTTCAAAGGCAAAGGTCATCCACAAGTCCAAGCAGGTGGAGGTGAGGATGGGGATATGGGAAGCCCCTGATACTGGGAACAGGGGCAGTTTGTTTAGTGAATGACAACATCTCTCTGGTGTGTGTCACCATACCAGTGTTACCATCCAAAAACGCTCCGGTCCTCAAAAACCAGAAGGTGCGTATTATAAAAATAAACAGCATGTTGTTGAGCAGGGATACAGATGATGTGATTGGTTGAGCTGAGGAAATGTTTCAGTAAAAGACGGATGAAAAAATATGGCTCGTAATGAAATTCATTAGTTCACGTTTGGTTAATGGGCACATTGACCAGATCTTTGTGTCTATGAAAGAACGGGGCAGAGTCCTGAATGCACCACATGTCAGGTTTTTCCATCCTAAGTCTGTTTTTCTCCTTCAGAACCTTAAGTTTGTGGAGGACTTGGAGATTGAAGGAAACTTCCTCCGAAGGTCTGTCAACGACATCACTTCCCTCCTGGATATAAATTTTGGGAGTCTCGGTCGCCCTGCCCGTGGTGGTCGAGGACGCGGAGGTCGGGGCGGTGTAGCCAGCCGCTCAGAGAAAGTTAAACCGATCGTGGAAAGGGTATGTGGCAGCTCTCAGGTAAAGAAAAGAATCGAGTGTTTGAGAGTTTTAATTTGTCAGCTACCTTCAGGTGTGTGATCAATTCTGAAACACCAATAATTTAAAAAACTCATTAGATTTCAACTTCTGTTCTTTGGTGAACTGAAGTTTTAAATGTTTTGCCTGTTAGGATTCTGAACTGGCTCCAAACCCTGACGACCCAGAAGATTTCCCTGCTCTATCAGCCGGAAGATAAAACTGGATTCACTTTTATTTACGCTCATGTAGGGAGAGTTTGTTGCACTTATACTTGCTGGACACTGTTCATGTTTCTGCTGTCTTAAGATTTGAGGTTCTGTTGTACTGAAAGCAAGCATGAGTATTTGACCATATCTGAATAAATGCTTAGGCAAATTTCTGTGATGTTTGTGCTCATTTCCTCCCAAACCACACTCCTCAACAACATGAAGTGAAATGTTTGAGTTGAACACACTAGTCAAATGTCAAGTATATTTAAATGTCTGTGGGGAATAATTTCAAGGATGCGTGACCAGAAAAAGAATCATTCTGAGTATACTTTTATTTAAAATGTCCCTTGGTGTGTGTGTGCGTGCGATTTAAGCTAAATTCACTAGTGGATTATGGACATGATTTAAACCAGACCCCATTAGGACCACTCCACTTCTCAAAGCATGATTCAGACAGAGTACAAAAATATTTACAAAATACAAATCGCTTATATCAAATGTTCACATATTTACAGGCATAAAAGATCAAAGTGAAAAGCAAAAACCAAATAAGGTGTTACAAAGTGATACAAATGTTCTGGTGGTCGTGGTTTCGAACTACAGATTGTTTTGCCATTTTGCTGTTGACAGAAAGCAGGTAAACGAGTATAAAAATGTATGTTAAATCAAAGCAGGAGCATGACGCCACAGTGAAATGTTAGTAAAAATATATCTTTTGGATTCACATGCCATATTGACGCATGTTTGCTAGTGCATGCTTCAATATGTAAAACACTACGATACAATTTCTTCAGAGAAAAAAAAACATTTGATGTTTAAAAAACAAAAATACCGAAAAGTGCCTGAAGGCTAAGATTACATCAAATCAATCAACAGATTTGATGTGCCATATATTGCAACATCAAGTTCTCTGTCATAATCTACAACTGATTAAGTTGTACAGCTGAAGGTGACATGGACTAACTTGTCCTCCAGATTTCCAGAAACCTCCTCCTTATCGAAGTAGAGGAGCTCTAGCCTTGGGAATGGAGTGACTGTGGGGGAGAAGGGAAGGATGTCTTATTAGTTGTGTGACAGATATGTTTTTTTTTTATTTGTGTAATCAGCCTTTGCGTGCAACAGTATCAAAGACCATGAAATGCAGTCAAGAAGGGATAGATACCATAGTCTGGAAATTCGAACTGATTGTAAAGACCTGCGAGCTTTACGTCCTGGGGAGGCAGAGTGTCTGTTGCCAGAAAGACTGGTGGAAAAGCAGGAGAAAAGATGGGGAAGAAACTGCAGATTAGAACTGACAGTTGATGCCACAGAGCGGTGACAGAAGGCACAGTGAGCAGCAGAGACCAGAGTGGCTATAGCCAGTAGTGTTCTGAAATCCAATATTCTTTAATGACATGCAGAGATGGCTATTGAAAGAAAGGACAGGTGGCCAGGAGGGAGAAATGTGGACAAGAGCCAATCAGTGTCAGTAAAAAAATGGTTCTAGAAATAAAATGTTGATGAAGATATTGCCATTAAACTAAGTATATTTTTGTGTATAGTTTGTTGACTAAAACCAATTAAAACTGAGGAGTTTTTACAGACCAAATTTGGACTAAGACTAAGTTACAATTTCAACTTAAACTATTTGAATCAGAATTGACACTCAATGTCAACAGTCGTGTGTAGGTGGAGTGTGTCCTGGGCAGTGAGGTGTTAGTAGAGGATGTAAGTGAAAGGGCTGTGGCTGGGCTGCATCATTCCAAGATTTTATTTCTGATGATCTGAGTACAGGTAAGTTTGTTTTGTTAATACGATTTACTACTTGTATTTCAAAGCCACAACATTATGGTTAAATATAATAGAATTAGTCTAAAGAATGACAAACACGAGGTCTGATTCGTGGCTCTCCCCTTCTCAACTCAACTTTCACTGCCCTCCAGATATTTGGATTCAGCTAAACAGTCAGATCAAGTGAGATGGACAGATCTAAATTCAATTGAGCTGTTTCCTTTTCCAACTAGATAGAACAGATTCACAGGAGTTACCAAATAAGATTTTGTTAAAATACTTTGTTGATGCATCCCAGCCTATGTGCATCAGGTTACCAGGACAATGTCTCTGTCAGGAGAGAAGGAAGGAGGAAACAGGAGAGTAGATGGCCTTTGATTTTTGGCTGGTTTTTCACAGCTATAAATCATGTGGTCTGAAAGTTTTCCACACATATTTGTAAACTTCACTGCTGCCAGAAGGAGGATGAATTTCGCTTTGGGCTGTTTCTGTTTGTGAAAAAGAGTGAGGTTCAGCGGAGGCTTGCCTGCAGATGCACTTGTGCCATGTTTAAGTTGATGAATGTGCCTGTGTTGACTGTGGCACTGGCTGTGTCTCTGTAGCCTCCACATGGATCACAACACATTGAGTCAGTGTCTCCAGTCACTACATGTAAGTTCCCGAGAGACCTGACCAGTCTGCTGTGGCACAGGGAGCTGGCAGAGAGAGAGGGGAGGCTGTTAATTTAACCCCGCAGGGGTCCACCAGTGGCTATTGCCTCAGGGCTGCTTCTCAACTGTGTCTGCGCCACTTAGTATACTGCGCACTTGCTGGCCACTGTATTAAGTACACCTGTGTACTAACACAACAACACCATCACATGTGAAGTAACCATAAAATATAAATACAGATTTACTTCACCGTCTTTATAAACTGATATCTAGACCAACTTACCGTATTTTCCAGACCATAAGTTGCACATTTCTCATCCTTTGGCTGGGTTTGAGACTAATACCCAGGTGTGACTTATATATTAAAATATATAATTGGGCATGTTTGTTACTTTCACACTTACAGCAACAAGAGGGCACTGGTGTGACATACTCATGTTTTTTTCTTTTTCTTTATGCACATTTTGGCTGGTGCGTCTTATGCCGACATATAGTCCAGAAAATACAGTACCTTCTTCCTTTAAATTGTTTTTTTTAAACCATAAAAACAACCAAGGTAAATCTGGGGCACTAACCTTTGTCCTACACCATTAGCTGGCAGTGAAGTTCTGGTTCTCTTCCTGCTGTCTGGGTGTTCAGACAGAGGTAGTGGGTTGACACTGGTCTTACAGCCCTGTACACTGGCCTGCAGAACGGCCCTGCAGCAGAAGAAAAGCCTTAGTCACTCATACATGGTCATTTGTTAAATTTATTTTCCACACATTTTCCTGCTTAAGTACAAGGGAATAAAATGTACCTTGCAGAGTGTGATGATGACCTAGTGTGAACCTTATTCTCCTCCTGTCTGTAAAAGAACATGAAAGTAAAACACTTTTAAGATCAGTGCAGTGAAAGGCTACAGAGACAGACGACAGGGCAGGAGGCAGAGAGAGGGAGACAATGCAGTGTGGAAACGAGCAGGAAAGCTCAATCATTTGATTGCTTTGGCACACAATATTATGGCAGCAGTCGCAGCCAAGTGGAATTAGTAAAGCCAAGAAAGTTCCACAAAGGCCACAAGGTGGCAGTAGAGAACTTGGAGGGACCAGGTTGTTGTTTTAGAGGCATTTTCTTTATTTTGAGGAGGCACAAAAAAAATAAACACAACAAACAGCAAATTCTGACATTTCCAGATGACATGGTGCTGATGATTATAGTCAAACAAGCATCGGAGTGTAATAAGATATGGTAGCATGGACAAGGCCTGTGGTGTTTCTGATTCAGAGAAGAACTAGTTTTGCTAATCAGCTGAGAATTTTCAGTTGTCTTAGGGGTAAAAGTAAAAAGTGAAGGGGATTTTTTTTGTGATTTCAGGTTGTCAGCTTTCAGGAATTGAAGAGAGACAGTGGGGCTCACCTACAGCATTCTCAGTAAGGGCTCCAGAACGTGGGGGCAGGGCAGGTTTTGGGGGGGGCAGACGGGCAGTAGAACTCATTGAAATCCTAACCCGTCTATACAGAAATGCAGGATGGAAGAAGGGAAGCCAAACACAATCCACCACATGGCAAGGCTACACAGGGAGGAGAGCAGCATGGCTACCAGCCATCTGAAAGGAGGACAAATCCAATAACAAGAGCAAAAGAAAAAGAAGGGGGAGGGGGGGGGGGAGACAAAAGACGTCCAGGTAGAAGATAGAGCCTGTGATGTTCTGCTTTTCCACTGGGACTGGATTAGATCAAATACTTTTTTGAGGGCCTTGTCCAGTAGTACCTGATTACAAGTAGTAGTAGGGACAGCTGCTACAGGTAGTTAATGTTATGCTAACTTTAAAATCACTGCATAAACTAGCATATTAAAATGCCTGTTTTTTTTTACTGAGGCTGTCAAAATTAATGTCAGGGTTAGGTGAAATTAATCAGATTAAAACTTTTGATGCATTTTAAAGCATGGGTAAAATAATACAGAGCAGACTGTGCACACATTGTGGGATATTCTTTCATTTCACCAAAGCACCTTGAACTTCAAATACCATTTGCAGTATACAGCAAAAAAAAAAAAAACTGATTTATTTTGTTTAGTCATGATTAATCGTGATTATTTGACAGCTATCCAGTGATTTACCAGATTGAAAATCTTAATCTTTGACAGCCCTAATTCTCACCATTATTGTATTTACACAAAATGATGAATTTTATGTTGAATTATTTCTTTGTTCCTTCATCAATCAATAGAATTTTCAGAACAATTGAAAAGTAATATAAAACCCAGCAGTGTGTTCTTCATACTAATCCAGTCACACAAAGCAATGGAAAAACAACAGGTAACTGTTGGTCAGTGAACCTGACCCCACATTAACGACATTAGACACATGTACAGACTGAACACAGAGGCATCGTCATGCGTGCACATCCATGAGTTTCATGCCTGCTGCCATGCACAAAGAAGCATAAGAGATGTAGAGAGGCCTTCACATTGTGTTTGTTTGCAGGTGTTGGACGCAACTCAGTGTTAGATTATACTAAAAACATGAAGTGCTAAACACTGACGCAGAACTGGAAGTTTGAGAGAACTACATATATGTATATGTATATACATATACAAACATATATACACAGTATACAGTTCCTAGATATATTTATTGGACAATATTCTGAAATATTCCAAAAGGCTGTTAGTGTTTCTATTGACCAACTTTGATCCATCTGTTAACCATACACCAACACATACCTGCAAAACTTTTCCTTTCCTTCTATTTGAATTATGCCATTTTCATAATCACGATACCACGTTCTTTACGCATTTGAAGGTAAAATCTTGCATATTTACCGGTTTTATAGCCGTTCATTTGTGCATATGTTCTGTGTTTAAGAACAGGAGAGGAGATTTACAACCAGATGCAGAAGCTAATATGTCGTTAGCTAGTAAGTACGCCCAAAAACAATACAATAAATAATAAAAAAAAAAATTGGTCCGTATCATAATAAAGACCGTAAAGTACCGTCTTGCCATAACTCCTTATGGCTCTTTCCAGATAAGATAAAGTCAGTGGGTCAAGCCATGCACTCAAATATGTGATTCAACTAATCCAGACCTGGAGTGGAAGTGATTAGTTGAATAACTGGTGCTGTTATTAAAGGGCTCAGCTCAGGGTCTTTCCTTCGTCTAAGATAAGTCTAGGTGTTCTAACTGAGTTGATCTTCTAGCAGATCAACTCAGTGTCTGTGATCAGTGAAAGGCAAGTCAATGTGATGGATCCATTCACCGCAGCCCACTTCACACCGAAACAGAAGTAGAACATGTTCAGTCAATCAGCCAAACCATTAGCCATTCACTGGCAAGGTGACAGCAACCATCTTTACAGGAAGAGGACATCAGCTCAGAAAGGAAGTGACATGCACTTACCTCCGTTATACAAAACCTCACATCCTCCCTCTCTCTCTCTCTCTCTCTCTCTTTTTTTTCCTCTCCCCCACTCTGCCTCTGCCTCTCTCTGCTACTTTTTGAACGGTAGACAACACATCGGCCACACTGTGCCCATGAGGCTGCAGCAGAATACTACCTGCCTGACATGGGACAACACAAGCCAAAGCCATGTGGGTACATTGGCAGAGGCCACACAAACATCCGCCACCATGCTAACACATCAGGACCGTCCACAACCTCATTCACCACAGAACATATGGGTGGATTTCATTTTGGAATGACGAGACAAAAATTTTGAAGCTGAGGACTTCCTGTTAACGTTAATTGCAACACAACACATCTACAGTGGTCATTAGCCATATCTTAGGTGTCATAGCTTCTGTAAAAACTAATTTACCTCCAGGACAAAGTGACCTTATGATCTCTTCAAGGCATTTATTAACTCAATAGCTCCACACAAAAATAAATATTTTTTTCTTATAGGGATTCCACATATGGCTTTGTGTAACTTAAAGATCAAGACATGATTCAAATCTGTTTCTGTGATACCACACATATGCAGTGCGGCCCACTCTCTCATTTCAAACTATAGGATTTATTTGCATTTAATCTGTCAAAATGTCCTTCCTTCCTTTCTTTTAAAGTAGAACAGTGCCAGTGGGATTTATATCCATTCCTGCAGACTGTACTGGAACTTACGACAGTGAGCCTGTGGACGACCTGGACTGCCTCTTGCTCTTTAGGGCGCGGAGCTTGTCCCCCTGTGTGAGGCCGTTTCTCTCCTCTTCATCGTTATACTACAAAACACAAATCACGTCAGACACATCAGCCAACTCAACTTTGGTTTATTCACAGAAATGTATATATATTTTAAAAGCAACAGTCCGGTCCTTGAAAGACTCACCAGTTCCATGTCGTCTTTCTTAGGCGATCGGTTTTTATTGCTACCGTTGATGGTGATGTCATCCACCCCAGACAGGATCCTTGTGACGGCCATCTTGCCATTTTCCTGTTCATTTTGTACCTTCTCTCGGAAAATGTCGCCCTCCACCCACAGACTGTTCTGTTTCCTGATGGTAAATTTTAAAAAAGACCAAAGAGAAGAGTTTAACCTTAATAGAATTTGTATGTATTTGTATTTGTATGATACAAGATGATGATGAAGATGAGCTGAAAAATTGTTGTTTAAGCCTACTCTTCAACAAAGTTCTGCTGAGGCCCAATGACAGACCCTGGTCGACAGATCCTAATCCAAGCGATGGCCTCTGCAGCGGTCAGGCGGTAATGTTTCATCATGTAACAGCCAATCAGGGTGCCAGTCCTCCCCAGACCAGCTGTCAAAAACATACGTGGAATTTAAAACAATGATGTACAAAATTAGCTTTTATAAACTAGATGTGGGACCGAGATCTGACCTTTGCAGTGGACAGCTATCGCTCCTTCTGCGTTCTCGCAGATGTTGAGGAACTTCTTGACGATTGAGTCGTTCGGTGTGCTCCCGTCCACAAAGAACAAGTCGTGGTGTTCGAAACCAGAGTCCGTGAAACGCCTGGCGTCATACATCTTTTTGTTGAGGCGGACGATGGTGGTGATGTTGTGTTTTCTGAAGTAGGGAATGTAGGCCTCCGGGGCGTGAAGAGGGTAGCCTGAGGTGGGAGAGGAATTATTAGGTTGGGTATGGAGGACTTTGAACAAAGAAACAAAAACAGTTCTGGGTTATTCTCTCTTTTTTTCCATTTACCATTTTCTATTTTGCTCTTGGGATGAGGGCCACTGAATGCAAGGAATTTTCCTGGAATGATCCAATTCAAGTCTCCGTTCTCTGCTCTTTCATAGTGCTCATATTCTTCCACGTCAAAGTTGGAGAAGTCCAGCCAGCCGTACTGCAGAGCCTGAGAGATGTTTGGCACAGAGTTGATTTCATTAGACTCGTGACACAGCAAGACGGAGACAAAGAAGAAAAATAGCAGCAGTAAATTGTACCTTGTGAACGGCGAGCAGACAGTCCAAGATGTTGAGATTGTACATGCAGGTTCCAAAAGAGGCATCTCTGTGAGGAACAAATGACAGTCATTCTCCACGGAGCATACTGATGATCTATTTTCTCCTTTTAAAATACCCCCCCCCCCCACCCGTCATTAGTCCTGTTCTACTTCTCATTCATTTTTCTTCTTTTCATTTTTGCCATCACACTGATGTTAACAGGACACATTGAACTTAAAGCTTATGCTTTTGGTCACTTCTTCTATATATAAATATAAATACATATGTATACATACATATATACACATACATATATACATACACATACATACACATATATACATACATATACATATGTACACATATACATATATACATACATATATAAATATATATACATATAATACATATATACTTACATATACATACACATATATGCACATGTATATACATACATATACATACACATATATGTATATATACATACATATACATACACATATACGTATATACATACATATACGTACACATATACGTAAATACATACATATACATGTATACATACACACATATGTATATACATACATATACATGCACATATATGTGTATACATACATATACATACACACATGTGTATATACATACATATATGTATATACATACATATATACACACATACATATATGTATATACATACATATATACACACATACATATATGTATATACATACATATATACACACATACATATATGTATATACATACATATATACACACATACATATATGTATATACATACATATATACACACATACATATATATATGTATA